TAATAATCAAATTAACATAAATTACGATGTGTATCGTAAAACATAAAAATAGATACACCTGTCGCATATTTTCACCATCTATTAAATACCCTTATCAATTTCATACACCTTACACAACCAACCAACAACAAAAAAAAGAATACACACACACATTATTAAAAATACTTCTTACTATCATCCTCACTAGCTTATCTAAAAAGTAATAAGACACCTGTATTAAATCTTTGAAACGAAAAAAAAAAGAAAAAGGGAAAAAGACAAGACGATGAAAGAAAGAGGACACGAAAGAAAGATGATCGGTGTTGAATTAAATCTTATGCATAAGGACTTTCTTCTCTCGTTTATGATACAATATATATATACATATATATATTATTAACTGTAATAGTAATAAAAAGTATTATTTCTCTTTCGAAGAGACAGACTACTGACTTCTTATTTCTTGGTTGGTTTCACGAGTGGTCCCTTTTATTCTAAGAACGTTAATGACGCATACTGTACGTTCCTCATCCTTCCGGTCGAGATTCTCGACCTCCGAGTAGGCACACAGAGATACACACGTGCATATAGATAGATATATGCATACACGTACGAACATACTATTCTATACGACCGTTTTTCACGCTCTCGAGTCTTCTTTCTCAAGGACGACCTCGCCAAAGAGAATTTTTTCAAGGTGAATCACCATTATCTTTCTTTCTTTCTTTCTTTCTTTTATTCTTTCACTAGCTAGGTAGCATACTAGCTATCTCTTTTACTCCTTTTATCTTCTGTCTTCTTCGTTCTATGAGAAAGAGTTGGAGAAAGAGGTAAAGAAAAAACGCAGGTGAGGTTAAAAGTCTCTGTTTCTTCTATCTCTCTCTCTCTCTCTATATATATATATATATATATATATATTTCTTCTCTTTGTAAAGGGGGAGGAAAAAAGAAGGAAAAAAAAAAAATAAAAAGGAAAGATCGTGTCATGTCTCCTCCTCTCCCACACGTCACGTCGACGACGACGACAACGACGACGACGTGAAAACCGACACAACACGTCGTCCATTGACGATTACACGCAGGATATTATAATATATTTTCACTTTTAAAAACTACTAGAGGACTCGATCAAAAATAGGGGTGGAGGAGGAAGGGTAGGGGATAAAAATTTTGTAGTTTATCCTTTGATTGAATTGCAACGTTAAAAGTATTGACAATTGTTCTCTAATCGTAATAATACATTGAAATATGATATGTTAAATAATGAACATTTTAATGAAAATAATATATTTAAATTCTTGTACGGTAGAGGATTATAATTCGTTCTAAAAAAAAAAAAAATACAAAAATAAAGTGCAATGGAAATATTTGTGTTATGCAAAAGTTGTTGATTGTAATTTTTGTATCACGTTACAAGAGAGAGAGAGAGGATTCCTTTGTAAATTAATTGAAAATATTTTTGATATAATAAAATAATAATAATAATAATAAATAAAAATATTATTATTAGCGAAGTGAAAATAAAATAACTCGACCGATCTTATCGTTCGCTCGTCCACTTATCTAACTTATAAAAAGAAAAATATATAGTAATATATCTATATTTAAAAAAGGAACCGAGAAAGAGAGAAACAACCAACCTTGACATTTTCCGGAGGAAACGACCTCGGTTTCTTATTCCCTCTTTTCCACTATTTCCTTCAAACTACAATCCTAGGGAAAAAAAGCAACCCCTCCTCCCAACCCATCATCATCCTTCCTCTCTTATCGCTACAATTTCCTATACCAAAGATGATAACTTCTTGCAATCGGTAGTATAATATTTACACTTTATTTTATATACATCTAAATATATACATATATTGGATTAGGTTCTTCAAATGTGTTATATATCGTGTCTTGAAAAAAAAAAAAAAAAACGAGTGAAATAGTCTCAAGAAGAAATTAAATATACATTTTTAAATTTAATTTAACAAAAAGATAAAAGGAAGTTAGTAAAAAAAAAAATATATTATATTTGCGAACACATGATACAGTTATCCGGGATACACGTGAGACAAAAAGTATATTTAATCTAAAAATTGGAATGTTAAAAATGAATCCCCAAAGATGCGCACACTGGTCGAACATTTAATATTAATTGTAACATCGGTAAGAAACTAAACACATCGAACAATTAAAAATTATTACAACAGTTTGATATTATTTGGAACAAAAATTGGATAGAAAAATATGAAGGAAAGCTTTGTTTCACTTTTGAATTAAAATACGAAAGAAACTTTCTACTTTTATATCCGATAGATTATATCCAACATAAAATGTGTTTCCATTCGAACTGGTATGACATAGTTTCTGAAAATGAAAAGATAAGATTGCACGGAATGTTTGAAATAATACGAAAGCTCTTATTATTTTCTTTCTATCCTTTTCTAGTTGTTTTTACTTTTGTGTGTGATATGAAATAACGTTCTAATCTTTAATTAGATCTAACATGTGTTCCAATAAGTATTTGTTTAGACAATCGTCACTTCTTAAATCTTTTAAGAAAAGAAAAAAAAAGAAAAAGAAAAAAGAACAATGTTGATTAATTTCATTGTTGATTTTTTGGTTCCTTTCTTTTTTTTTTTCCCCCGTTCTCATTAAAAACCACGTGGAAAAAATGTAAAAGATAGAAAACGTGACAACATTGTTGAGACTACTAGATGACGATTAAAGTTCTCTCTGGAGTCTTCCTTCTGCCCACGTGTTGGACAGAGAGAATGAACGTTAAACGTTTCCTCTGACGTCATTCACGATAGTAATCTCTTTTTCGTGTTTTCCTAGGATCTACCGGATGGAAGAACAGAAGAGATATGTGAGAAAGTTATTTCGAGTTATTATTTTTTATCTAACAATATTAATAAATTATTATTTTAGTTATATATATAACTAATATAATATATATT